AGAGCGGGCCGCGACTGGGCTCGCCGCCCTCCCTGCGGCACTCCAGCCGCCGGGAAGAGCGGAGAGCCGCGGCGGGCTCGCCGCCCTCCCCCCAGCGCTCTGGCTGGTCAGGGAAGCGGAGAGCTGCGGCGGGCTCGCCGCCCTCCCCCAGCGCTCTGGCTGCCGGGGGCTCGCCGCCCTCCTCCCGGCGCTCTGGCCGCCGGGGAGAGCAGAGAGCCCCGGCTGGACTCGCCGCCCTCCCCCCGGCGCTCTGGCCGCCGGGGAGAGCGGAGCCCCGGCTGGGCTCACCGCCCTCCTCCCGGGGCTCCAGCCACCAGCGGAGATGTGGCGGGCTCGCCGCCCTCCCCCCGGCGCTCCGGCTGGTCGGGGAGAGCAGGCCCGCGGCCGGGCTCAGCACCCTCCCCTGCCGTGCTGGGAGGGGTGGGGGGGTGGGTGACGGGAGGCTTTTTTGCCGCCCCAGGCAAAAAAAGCCAGAGCCGGCCCTGCAGGGAGCAGACCAGCTGCTGGCCTGCTCCCTGACTAACTGCACGGCTAGGTAGCCAATGCACCCAGCTGCACTGCCTTAGAACTCTGAGTGCCACAGCCCCTGATTGGCTGCTGGTTTAGCAGCCCTGCTTATAAGCCTGGCCCCCACAGCAGATCAGGGGTTGTTCAATGAGTTACTCACCTGCAGCTGTGCTTGCCCTTGCTCCAGTCCCTGCTTCCATTCCTTGCTCCTGGTTGTTCCAGTCTGCTTCCTTTCCCTGCTCCCCTCTGGCTTTGGGTGTGACCCCTGGCTCTGCCTCTGGCTTACAACTCTGGTTTACCAATACCTGGCTCTGGTGTTTGGCTTCTACCCCTCTGTTACTGACTGTTGGTTCATTTCCTGGACTCTGCTAATCCTGGACCCAGCTCTAACCGATAGGCTGAACTCTCATCTTCACCACTTGGCCTGACTGCCTATGGCCCAGTTGGCAAAACACTGTGACCATCCCTCTTTATTTTTAGCAACATCATTCCTCTATGTCAAAATCCCACATTATACTGTAAGCAGTCAGTGGGGGAAGGCAGGCTCCTCTATCTGCCCACTCCGGCTACCCTATTCAAACAACCCAGCTCTGGCTGATATGCCATTCATCCTGTTCTGTTTAGTGTCCGAGACACATGGCAAGTTATCATTGTGGCTTTCAGTTGGGCAAAGTTTGACTACTAAATATACTGAGGGCCATAGTAATCGTTACAAATGCTATCTTTTTCCTTGTACCATCCACATCACCTGTGCCATCTGACACCACTCTGCAGAATACAAGGAAACTGCTAAATTTTAGAATTGGAGTCTGGGGGTTATTCTTGTTTTTTAAGGCTGGTTGAAAAATGGGAATTATTTTCCCCACAAAAATTTCAAATGGAATGAAAACACTCTGAATCAAAATCAAGTTTTCATTTTGAATGTTTGTATTAAACTGAAATGAAAAATGTGTCATTTTGAGTTGACTCAAAATAAAATTGTAATTAAAAAAGGAGAATTTTGAACAATTTTTTTGTAAATTGTAAAATCATTTTCTGTTTAAAAATAAAACTGACAAAATTGTTGACCAGCTACTGTTTGTTTTTTCTGTGCCTACAAACCATGTTACTCCATAATGTACAGCTTTATCCAGGTTTGTATATATTTCATAGAAGTTATGGTGTATAATGCCAAACAAATTAGAAATTATTACATACTGGGTTAACGAAGAATACTGTATGCTCTTAGAATGGTTGGTAATACATGAGCTAATGCAGTCTATTGAATTGAATGAGACTTTACATGTTAACATAATGGATGTTTCTTCTGTAAAACCTCTATGAAAAGTCATTTACATATATCAAAGCTACTTTTCTAACATGAATAATTCAATCATCTGTGTTCATTTTTTGTTTTACATGCTAGAAACCCTTAGTCCAAGTTGTGAGTTATCTCTCAGGATTTCATTTAAAACACAGAACAGAAAGCTAAACTCGCTAAACTATACCTTCATTGATGCCCACACAACCCCACTGGAGTCAATGGTATCGTATGCTTGTACAAAAGAGTAGGAACAGATACTGGTTTGTTACGGGGGCGGCAGTTGGAAGACCTGAAAAACAAGCCAGAAAAAGGCCAACATGCTATCTTTCTTTTCCTTCTGTTGTTAAAAAAAAAAAAACACCACAGCTAATCTGATTTAAATTAAATTTATAAAACATATGCTCCTGGGCAGAAATCTTGTAAATCCAATTTGAGCCTAAAGCACATTTTTATGGCTGCAATATAATAAACCACTCGGAATAAGGATTCCATTGACATCACCTTACTTAGCGTAGTAGCACGAAAGGCCTTGCTACAATAAAGCTGCAGAGTATTGTTTGAATTCATCTGCCAGAACCAGTGGGGCCCCATTTTCATTTTGTTTGACATCACAGAAGGCCTGAATTACAAGGAATGAAATAGAGCAAAGAAATCATGATATAAAAATTATTCAAATGGTAAGATAGTAAAAGTCCCCAAGATAAAATACAGTTATGATGTGAACTCTGCTATATTGAATGTTTGGGCAGGGGCAGGGCGGGGAGGGGGAGAAAGAGAAAAAATCAAACACTTGTTCAGTGGTTCCTGTTCATCAATAGTTAATAGCCAAGGTGATCTAGGATGCACAGGACTTTATTAAAGGCTCAGTTTAGCAGATGTCTGCTAGCTTACAGAGAAGCCCACTTTGCAAAATAGGACAATCTGTTTAGTGGTTACACAACGTAAGTGTTACATGAAAATGCAGAAATGTTCAAGGGAGGACAATAGCCAGAAACAGGGAAAAAACCAGAGCAGAAGCTGGGCATTATCTGATGGTTATGCAAAGTGCACATTAAAGGACTAACCATTGGTACTCAGGATTGAAGTGAAATGATTACATAAATGTTTGCTCATACAAATGCCTCTGTGTCCTTTGTGTAGCTTGCCAGGTTATCAGATGACCTAATTCCTGCTTGCATCAAATCCAAGGAGTAGTTTACATTTCACATAATAGAAATATGCTGTTCATTGACATTGCAAGCTCTTTGTTCTGCCTACCTAGCAGAGGTATCCCTGATAGGATCGGGAGAGGCAGGGGAAGCTGTAGCCCTGCAGTGATGTTCAAGTAATAAAGTAATAGCCTATGATTGCTAGTCCCAAAATTAGAAGTGGGGCATCTGGCATAGCTTCAAGTATCAACAGGAGCAGCTTGAACATAAAAGCCTCATTGCTGCATTTGAAGTGTGGCAAATCTCTGTTTTGGCCTCATCACAACACCATAGTCAGGATGAATAATCCTTGCTGCATCCAAAAGGAGGGGGCTTCGTTTGAGCTTTGCTGTATGCCTATTGAAAATGAAAGCAAGGTGTTACTGTGATACTTTCTTGGGGCTCCCAGAATGGTACACCACTGTTACCCCTCGGCCTCAGCAAGAGAGAGCTTTGCTGGAACTAAGACAGTGTCTCAGCCCCCTGCTACACCCAATGTTGTCATCTCTCATGATTTTGTCATGAGTCTCATGATAATTATTGGTTTCTTTAAAGCCCCAGCTCCAGGAGTCAAGTGGATGGGTGATGATTTCAGCCATCATTCTTAAAGAAAAAATAAGTCTCTAGCCCTCGGGGCTGTGGGGAAAGCTTCAAAATGTGACCCCAGTGCACTCTAAAGGCTCAAAAAGCAGAAGGCAAATAAAAAGAACACCAAATATATATATTTTAAATAATCTCATGATTTTAAAGCCAATCTCGTGATTTTTAAACATTTGGGATTGGCAATATTACATACCAGTCTGTCCGACTCACCAGGAAACTCCTTGAGACCCTGCTTGTCTTCACTTTGCTTTGCAGGTAGCATTCAGTGAACCCCTAGAAGAGCATTCCTCTGCAGTATCCAGCATGCCCACAGAAATTCCCAAGTCTGCTGTCTCCAAAGAGACAGAATATGCACCAGCCCGCTGGCTCAGCTGAGCGTGCACACCTTCCATTAGTATAACAGCACTGGGATGGATTTATAATACAACAAGAACAAGTTTATTAATAAAGAACAAAGATTTAAGTGATACTAAGCAAAGAGAAAAGAAACTAAAAATGGTTACAAATAAGACAAAACAAAAAAACATTTTCTAGCATCTAAAATGTAACAGATTTCAGTACCAGTGTCAGGCAATTTCTCACTATCATCATCTCTCAGCATCCTCAGCCGACACAGTTCGGGGTCCACCTGTCACAGACACCAAGAGCGCTGGCCCCTTATGTCTCTTAAGAGATGGATACCAAAATGGCTTTTTGCTTCTCTTTAAATTTCCTAAAACTCATTGTTTTGTCCTCAGAGTCAGAATGATCCCCTGGGGTTCAGACTCTAGTCATGCTGTTTGTTTTTCAGCAAGCTGGGGCCTTCTTTGTGCTGATTTGATCATTCTGTTTTCCATAGATGCAAATGTACATTCACTGTCTTTTACTTGAAATCAAGCCATGTTGTTTCCTCGTTTGCTTGTTAGCTTGATCATTCTTTTTGCCACATCTGCAAATGTATTAACTATTGCCTCTGGCTTACAGAGCTTGACCCCTAAAGACTGGCCACTATATGTTCCTTTATACAGGACAAACCTGTTTATCAGCTTTACTTGGACTGCTTGGTCTAAACATTTTTGTAATGTATTTCCAGAAGAACTATATAACTCTTTACATGCTACTGTACTTATATCACACAAGAATATTAATGACCCAAGTGTCACAAGTTTTCATATGATACCTTACTTTTATAGTACAATAATATTGTATACAATCAGTTGATTCAATTGCTTATTCTTTGTGGTTCAGACCTCCTGTTCTCCTCCTGGGGTGTCTGGACCCTGATTGTCATAATTACTGAGTAAGGGAAGATTCAAACCAGTAAAACTTCAAGGCACTTGGTGGATGGATAGTTAAAAACAGACACCTTGTAATAAGCCCATTCTTTTTTAACTGGTAGAACTGTATACTTAAAGGGCCCAGAATAAGCAGTGCTCTACTCAAGCCAGCCTTGTAAAATGCTACTCACTTGGGTGAGTGATTGTTTTTTCATGGGCAAGAAAAACTGTTGCTACCATTTGTATGATAATTTCTACAAGGTGGATGAATAGAGTTTATGGTTGGACTTTTAAATGTTTGTGATGATTTACATAGCTAGCTTATGCAACTCCCTTGTACTTTAAAGGAAGAGGAAGTGAGACTAAAGACACATCTAGGCTACAGAGCCTTAGACGGTATAGTTATGCTAGCAGAGCCCATAGGGTCTGTCTGGAATGAGCCGTCCAGCCCAGGACCACGGATTTGTGCCATCTGGGCTTGCACTAGCATGCTGAAAATAGCTGTGTAGACATTACTTTGACATTGTGGCTTGGGCTCTCAAGCCTGGGGGGTGGGCCTGAGAGCCCGATCACCAGCCTATTCTGTAATGTCTACACCAGCGGTTCTCAAACTAGGGCCACCGCTTGTTCAGGGAAAGCCCCTGGCGGGCCGGGTTGATTTGTTTACCTGCTGCGTCTGCAGGTTCGGCCGATCGCAGCCGCAGGAAGCGGTGCAGGCTAAGGGATGTGCTGGCCGCCCTTTCTGCAGCCCCCATTGGCCTGGAGCGGCGAACTGCGGCCAGTGGGAGCCGTGATCGGCCCAACCTGCGGACGCGGCAGGTAAACAAACTCGCCCGGCCCACCAAGGGCTTTCCCTGAACAAGCGGCAGCCCTAGTTTGAGAACCACTGGTCTACACAACTATCTTTAGCGTGAGCCCCACTAGCATGAGTCTATAGAACTGGGCTGGGAGACTCACTCCCAGATGCAGTGTAGACATACCCCTTGTGTAAATGGAGTATAAGCCAGCAGAAGGAGTTCTTCTGCCAGCATAGCTATATCACCTCCACAAATAACGTTAGCTACGCTGACTGAAACACTCTTCTGTCGGCTAATTGTGTCTCCACTGGTGTGTCTTTACTGGCATAACTAGATTGACTTGAGGGAAGATTTTTTTCTGACACTCCTAGTGGACATAGCTATGACAGCTAAATTTTGTAGACCTGGCCTAAGCAGTTAGGGCATAAGCCAGGGGTCAAAAGAGGCAATCTCTTCTACTAGATATATTCTTTGCTAGTTTACCCCCTTAAAATGGCATCTTTTGTCTCAGTTAAGCAGAACCCAGCTCAGTGACATTAAACACCCTCCTGGTTTTGAATGATAAGAGTTAAATTTTCCAGAACTGACTCCAAGCTTGTTCCCTTAACATTTTGCAAGAAAGACAATACCTGTGCAATGCCCTTTATCCAGAACCAATGTAGATTACAAGATCAGTATATTCTCAAGCAATAGAGCCAACTGACTAACATGTGACAGGGAGTGTTGTCAGCCATGCAGGTGTTTGTAGTAGCCTCTTTGTAAACAATTTCTCTCATTTCTGTCATTCCAAATGGCTATGAAGTACAATTGAGGATGGGAAGATTAAAGTTAAGTAACATAAGAGAAGTGGAAAGACTCTGAGCACAGATCTTCTATAGGTACCTATACTGTTTCAGTGCTATTAAGGAAGATAGATTTATTAGTGCCCCCTGGATGAAATCCAAATAGTTCACTAGTGGAAGAGCTAGTCTGTTCTTTTTTTCCTGATCATTGATCCAGAAAAAAATACTTGTATGATGGGAACTTTAACAATCCTTTGGGTGACAATTTAAAATTGACTCCAATCAGTAAAATGTCTCTGGTCCTCAACATTAGTTCTGATGGCTCCTCTGAGAATTTCTGGTACCGAGAGAAGTAACAAGCAATAAACAAAGAGTTCAGGCTGCTTCAGTTTCATTCAAGCAACTCTACCTCTTGCACTTTGTCTGGCTCTCCAAAATTTAACCTTCAATATGCAATTGTTTCACCTAGGATAGAAAAAGAAATTGAGATATTTTTATAGAAGAGTATATATATATTTTTTACTAATTTACTTGAAATTGCATTGAACTTTTCCTGAAGATATTATTGCCAGTGATAAGTGAAACTCAATAAATTCAGAGTTTGGGTTGAGTTCATACAAGCACCCAAAAGTTTGTAATCTATGCACAACTCCCAAAGGTGTAAAATTAGGCTGCAAGTCATGACAAGAAGCTTTCTCATGACATTTCTGATTCTTCCTATTTCTGGTCAGTCCGGAAATACTATGTTAACAGCCATTCTCATCATATTTAGGCTATAATGGATGAAAATGAAAAAGAAATTGAACATTTTGAACTCTATAAAAGGTTCTTTTTATTTTATTTTCAACATATTTCTTTATTAAAATTTCCATAAAATACTTCAGCTTCGTAGCTCCTTCAAGTGTGGACAAAGCACATTGGTAAGCATTTCACAGCAGTGTCCGAAACCTTTATTTTACAAAATTTTGCACCTTGCATAGCAATGAGCACAAGGTGTTTGAGGTTAAGCAGGTTTCAGAGTAGCAGCCGTGTTAGTCTGTATCCGCAAAAAGAACAGGAGTACTTGTGGCACCTTAGAGACTAACAAATTTATTAGAGCATAAGCTTTCGTGGACTACAGCCCACTTCTTCGGATGCATATATATGAGGTTAAGCATTTATACATGGAAGATTAAGCATTAGGCATAAATCCTCCATCATGACCAGGAATTCTTTCAAGCCTTCTCTTTTACTGTCTAGATCATAGGATAAAAAGAGGACAGGGTGTAGATGGAGACCCTCTCTGAGGAGGCTTAAGTGAGCAGACAAATGAGGCATTTAGCTACATGCTCCCTTCTTTGGCCTTACTTCTCCAAATAGGCAGAGGTAGTGGCCATGCTCATTAAGGAACTGATCCAAAGTCTACTGAAGTTGGTGGAAAGACTCTCATTGGTTGCGTTTTGTGGATTTTGGAATAGTCCTTCCTCCAGGATTGGGTACCCCTGCATTCCCTGTCTTGCTCAGCACTTTTTAGCTTGTGTTTTAAGGGTACCACTCAGCACCTTCACTGTGCAGAACCAATCCCCAACCCGTTAATGTCTGAAAGCATCCGAAGTTCCTTCTGTGATATTGGAAAAACCCTTCAATTGAAATTATTGATTCATAAAACTTGCTATGCTTTAAAGAAGCCATCAAATAATCTCCTGCTATGCTAAAAAGCACAGCCTCAGATGGTGACTTTTATGAAAAATGTTCACTTAAAAGGCCTTTAATTCCACTATAAAGTGCTAAAATGTGCATATAGGTATTTTTGTAGCACAATGGGAATATATAAGCATGTTTAGTGCTGTAGTAGGATGTAAGACTTTTTGAGATCATGCCATTGTTTGATGGCTTCTTACAGCCACATAGAGTGTAAAGAGTTCCTGAAGTTTGGTGGGTGGTGGCAGGGGGGAAATTCCCAATTTTAAAAAATCCTGTTTTTTCTAAATTTGAATCTAGAAAAATTTCAAACAACTTTATAGATGGTCTAACAAATTTGTTAATTTGTCTAAATTGTCTAAAAAAATTTTATTTTTTCCATTAATAAAAAAATAATTTATTAATTCAAACATTTTCAAGCAGATATACTATGAAAATGGCTAAAGAGCTGGTACTCAGGTCAAGATCTGGATCTATTAAATTCATACAGGGCTTGTGGTCTGGATGTAAGTCCAGGGGCCACAATTCAGGTTCAATGGTACTGAAAACACACAAAGCTGTTCTTGTGAGATTTCAGTGCCAAATGACATCTTATATTTTGAATAGCAAAAGTGTTGTCAGATCATCTGTTTCATGGGATTTCTACCCTCTTGGGTGAGAATTTGGAAAGCAATCCCTTCTACTTCTGGATTTGACACAGCATTTGAGTCTGAATTTCCTCCCCAGAAATTAAAAGAGCTTGAGATGCCAAGTTCTAGTATTTGATAACCTGCAGAATATAAAACTATTTTGTCAGTATCAATTGTATAGTTACTCTGAAATATCACACTGTGGTAGGTTTATCACAATTTGAGATTCAATATACAGATACATTTGAAATGTTTTTGCTTATTTCTGTTACTTTCATTTGTAATATAAATGTGATTTAATTAAATGGACTAAGTACTTTCAGTGGAAGCAATTTTCTAGTGTAATTGGATAGACTGATTATTTTTAAAAAAAAATCTACATTTTTAAAGTTCTTGGCATATGGAATTTTTCCATAGAACTCTTGCTATCGTATCTGACACATGCTCAGAAAGGTTTGGTTTGAGTTTTGAGCAAAGATTCAAGTTAATTTTAATTTTATCCTGACAGGTTCACTTGTAGGTCTGAGATCCCCACACTGGTGAATGAACACCTTGTGAGTTACAGCATACCACCAGTTATCTGATAGGGTAGGCTCAGTGGGGAAAATCAGCACCAGTTAAACAATAGAGATAATCCACATTGTCAGTTGTGATTTAAGGTGTCTATTACCCCTTCTCTCAGGCCTTGGCTACACTTGCGAGTTACAGCGCTGTAAAGCTGCCCCCAGCGCTGTAACTCACTCCCCGTCCACACTGGCAAGGCATTTGCAGTGCTGTATCTCTGTGGCTGCAGCGCTGCATGTACTCCACCTCCCCGAGAGGAATAGCAAGTATTGCGCCACCGCTGCAGCGCTGCGGCACCAGGGTGGCCGCCCAATGTGCTGTGACTAGTCTCCAGAAGTATTCGGCAGTATCCCACAATGCCTGTTCTAGCCACTCTAGTCATCAGTTCAAACTCTACTGCCCTGGCCTCAGGTAACCAACCATGTGACCCTCCCTTAAAATTCCCCGGGAATTTTAAAAATCCCCTTCCTCTTTGCTCAGCCCGGCGTGGTGTGGAGTGCTATCAGTGAATCTTTCCAGGTGACCATGCCTCCACGCACCAAACGAGCCCCAGCATGGAGCAATGGCGAGTTGCTGGACCTCATCAGTGTTTGGGGGGAGGAAGCTGTCCAGTCCCAGCTGCGCTCCAGCCATAGGAACTACAATAGCTTCGGGAAGGTATCAAAAGAGATGATGGAAAGGGGCCATGACCGGGATGCCCTGCAGTGCAGGATTAAAGTGAAGGAGCTGCGGAGTGCCTACTGCAAAGCAAAGCCCGCGATGCAACTGGCCGCTCTGGTGCTCCCCCCGTGATCTGCCGATTCTACAAAGAGCTGGATGCGATACTTGGGGTTAACCCCACCTCCACTCCGAGCACCACCATGGACACTTCAGAGCCGGGGTGGGAGGAGGAGGAAAACGGGAGTGACGGTGGTGGGGCGGATGGAGACACCCCTGAATCCCTGGAGTCATGCAGCTAGGAGCTCTTCTCGAGCCAGGAGGAAGGTAGCCAGTCGCAGTGGCCGGTACTTGGTGGAGGACAAACAGAAGAGTAGGTTCCCAGTAAGCGGTTTTCTTTTTCGGGAAGGAATTTTTTCGGTGCAGGCTCTTCGGGAGAGGAGGGTTATGCATGCATGCCTAGATGTGGAATAGTGCATTGATGTGGATTATCACATCGCGGTAATCGGCCTTGGTAATCTCTTCGAATGTCTCATCCAGAACGTGTGCAATGCGCTTGCGCAGGTTTATCGGGAGAGCCACCGTGGTCCTTGTCCCAGCCAGGCTAACGTGTCCACGTTACTGTACCGCGAGGGGCAGGGGGACCATTGCTGCACACAGGGAAGCTGCATATGGGCCAGGGCGGAAGCCGCATTGCCGTAGAAGACCCTCCCTTGCTTCCCAGGTCACCCTCAGCAGCGAGATATCATCCAGGACAAACGCCTGTGGAAAATGTTGGGACAGTGTTCAGTGTAGGTGCCCCCTGCAGCTGTTGGCTGTCCCCAAGGCACAGAAACCCAGAGGACAGTACAGCCCTGAAACAATCAGTCCCCCTTACTCACCATTTTGAGGCTCCCGTGGGTTATGTGCGCTCTGTTTGGGACGGGAAAATTATGCTATTGTGTAGACCCCGTGTGTGCCCTCCTTAAGTGCGGGGGAAATCATTAATCTGTCTGCTATAAACAATGCTGCCTCTGTTAAATGTTGCGTTTTGCCTATACGGCTGCAATAACCTTGAGACCTCAGCCGTCCCTCTTATCGCCTGCTCGGAGACTGCAAAGACTCAGGTAGAGACCGCAAAAAAGCAAAGAAGACATGCTGCAAGAAGTGATGCGGCAATCTATTAAAGAGAATGAAAAAGCACAGAACTGGAGGGAGAGAGAAAGCAGGATCCGCCAGGAAAACGCAGCGCACCGGCGGCAAAGCATGGAGTGCCGCCAGCAAAGCACGGATCGGCTCATAAGCATCTTGGAGCGCCAAGCAGACGCTATCCAGGAGCTTGTAGCCATGCAGAAGGAGCAGTACCGCAAACGCCCCCCCTCCTACAGCCCTTGTCCCAAAATTCTTTTCCTTGTGCCCCACTGTTACCTCCAACCCACTTTCCCAAGCTTCCAGGTTCTTCATGCCACCAGCTGTCTCCAACACCAGTATCTTCACCACCCAGCCCTGAAAACCACGACCCTTACCC